TGCATTTATTAATTATTAGTAATAAGCTAGTATTGATACTTTTCTGTTGAATGCATATTTTTCAATACAACTTTATTATTTTGAATTTTTAAATAAAATTCATTACATGTTTAACCCAAATACTACAAATAATATTATTCTATATTTTATTATTAAATAATACAAGATTAAAGTTATTTTCTCTTGGCTTCCATAGACAGGGACAAAATTAAYGGTGGCTCGGTACACTGTGACATGTTTTTAAAATCGGGACGAATGGCAAATCTATATTAAGGTGGTCCCCACAGGAAAGAAACACCCAAGTTTATCATGAAATTAAAAAATGTAAATTGAAACTAGCCAACTGATATAATTTCATTTAGTATGTCATGGCAGGCTATGCAAATAATTCTAATTTTATATTGACAGATGAATCATTGTATTTAATTTAAACTGTACCAAGTTAAAATATACCAGGTTAATAGACTGTACATTAATATAGGTAGTTTGTTTATTATATATTTATAATTGTTTTAATTTTTGATAAATGTATAATGACTGTTGTCTTGTACCTATATATCTCAAAAACACCAACACTTAAAGGAACTGACATTCGTCATGTTTTTATTTATATATTTATGACTAATAGGTTAATCCTTAATAAATGTTGTTTTGACTTCTACTCTTGTAATGATTCATTAGCTCATCACATATTTATTACATGTTATATATTTTTAAGTTTTTAAACTTAGTACCTACCAGAAGTACCAAAGGGCTTATTTATTTTTATAAAAGTTTTATAATAGATAAATCATAAAATTATTGGTTTAAAGTAAATTACTAATAGTATTTAAAATTTAAATTAGATGTTAAGCAAATTACCTTATAATTTAAATTGTATATTTTACAAAAAAWATTATGAAAATAATAGTAACTATCATCTAATATCAAAATTAAATGTTGCTCCTCATGTTGTGTAGGTATTATTTAGATTTTAGATTATATTATTTGTAAATTAAATATCTAATCTAAAAATGTATACTTATCATTCAAACATGAATCAATATCAGTTATCACATTCTATTCAAACTTAGTACATACTATTTATTACTATTTAAAAACAATTACCTTTAAGGCTTTAATATATAATATATAGGTGTCTATAACTAACATATGCATTTAGTGTGTTTAATTAAATGATGAGGTAGTTTACAAAAAAATTTATCATAGAATACTAAAAGCAAGTAGAAACATTATTAATTCTATTTATTATTTTTCTGAGTTCATTACCAATAAAAATGATAAAATATAAAATATCCTGTTTATTTATTACAGAAACTTGTTTTTTTTTTTATCTTATCACATTCCACTGAGAATATTTTAACCATTAAACGTATTATTATTWTTTTTTTTACATTGTACTTATCAAGCTTGTTCCATTTAGTCAAAAACAAAAATTATATCATACCTATTATGTATATAGTTTATATTTAATATTTTTTTAATAATATTTTTCAGATTAACTATGTAAAAACATTTTGTTATAATGTGTGGAGAGTGTGACAAAATACGTTGTTTACGTGACAGCTGCCCTGGTTTGGGTGGATGTCGATTATGTGGGAATTTTTCTTCCAATATTTACTATGGACATTATAACTTTTCAAGACCTTCAACTTCAACTAAATTTTCCAAAGTCAATTCAAAACATTACAGAAAACCATGGCTTATAGCCTCAAAATCTGTCTGGAAGTCTGACTTTCTATGTATAGCCCTATGGTGCATTGCTGTTCTTAGTGTCAGTCAAGCATCTGATGAACACCAGACACAAATTACAAGTTTACCTCCAATAGTCACTCAACCTACAAATAATAGTGGAGTGCACTTGTCATCTGGGAGAAGTAAGTTTTGTAATTTTACTTTGAACTATAAATATTATGATATATATATATATATATATTTTTTAGTATGTCAAAGTAAAGATATCAGAAATAAAGCTGAAAATCTGAATGCTCTTCGTGGTTGTAGAATTATTGAAGGATTTCTTCAAATAGTTTTAATCGACAACGCAAATGAAACAAGTTATGAATCGTTATCATTCCCCGAATTACGAGAAATCACTGGTTATTTATTATTATATCGTGTAAATGGTTTAAAATCACTTGCTAAACTCTTCCCTAATCTGTCTGTGATTCGAGGACAAGACTTATTTATGTCGTATGCTATTGCAATTTATGAAATGGTGCATTTGCAAGAATTGGGTTTGTACAACTTAATGGATGTTGTAAGAGGAGCTGTTTACATCACTAAAAACCCAATGCTRTGTTTTACACAAACTATTGACTGGATAAGAATTGCGCCATCTGGAAAAGAATCGCATGATATATATGTAAGTCAATGGATTACAAGAATAATGATAACTTAATACCTAAAATTTTTAATATTATTAGGATAATCGTCCTGTAAATGCTTGTCCTGTGTGTCCATGGACAAATGATGTAGGTTGTTCTGTTTCTAATCACACTAATGAACCATTGTGTTGGAATACTGAACATTGTCAAAGAAGTAAAGTTATATAATTAAATCTTTTTTTTATATGTAATAATTAAAATTAATATTTTTAGTTTGTCCACCGGAATGTGGTAATCTTAGTTGTACTGAAGATGGCACATGTTGTCATGAACAGTGTCTTGGCGGTTGTAGTGGGCCTAAACATAACGATTGTTTTGCTTGCAAGTATTTAGCAGATGATCGAGATTGTGTGAAAGAATGTCCAGCTGAAACATTGATAGTAAATGATWGTAATATTAACCATAAGATTGATTTTTAATCAAAATTTTTATTTTATAGTATCAAAACCGGCGTTGTATTTTGGAACGTGATTGTTATCGCATGCCACGATCAAGAGATATACAAAATGGGTTACAACTACAATCATGGAAGCCATTTAATAATAAATCTTGTGTAATGGAATSTCCTCCTGGGTTTGAGGAAGTTCCTACTGAAAATGTTTATGGAAAAGTATTTAAATGTCAAAAATGTTCTGGTAAAGTTTGATTAATTATGAATTTAAATCATTGACTTATTGTTTATGTTTGATATTATTATAGGACCATGTCGTAAAGTTTGCATTGCAGCTAATGTAGAAAGTATACAGTCTGCACAAAAATTAAAAGGATGTGTTATTATAAACGGATCGTTAGAAATACAAATACGTGGTGGTAGTAAGTATAAATGAATGATAATAGAAAACCTCCTTAACTTCTTAATGTTTCAAGTGTTAAGTATTACAATACTTTTTTTTTTTTGTAATTTTGAATGAAATTCCTTATCACAAAGWATTATTTTATAGGATATTAAAAGTGAAATTTAAGTACAACGTTGTTGCTCAGATAATTATGAATTATTATCCCATACATTAATTTTATAAACATACAAATAAATGATTATATATTTATAGAGTATCATAGAGTATCTAATATACTGATTAATAACCTAGAATAATTTAATAATTTAATATAATATTAAGACTAACTATGTTTCTTGTGTAGTTAGTAATTATTTTATTATGTATGTGTCTATTTTAGTGAACATCGTTAAAGAATTAGAAGAAAGCTTAAGTATGATTGAAGAAATTACTGGCTACTTAAAAGTGGTTAGATCATTTCCATTGGTATCATTAACTTTTTTAAGAAAATTACATGTCATCAGAGGAGAAATATTAGAAAGTTCAAAGTAAATATTAAATTTAATTTAATTTGTAGGTACTAGGTACCTTTCTAAGTTTAAATTTAACCTTTAAATTATTTTCAAATTAAAGGTATGCATTAGTTGTATTAGACAATCAAAATTTAGTTGAACTTTGGGATTGGAGTACTCGCAAACCTGATGGTGAATTACGAATTGAACGGGGACAAATATTTTTCCATTTCAATCCAAAGCTTTGTATTTATAGGATAAAGCAATTACAAACTAATTTAGGTGACAGATTTAAAAATGTTGATGATCTTGAAGTGGCACCCAATTCAAATGGCGATAAAATGGCTTGTAATAATTTATTCATCAAATTTTTAAACTTAAAAAAAAAAATAATAATTTATGATTCCAGGTACAGTTCAAAAACTGAACGTATCAACAGAAGTTGTACTTTCAAATTCGGTTTTACTGAAATGGTCACCTTTTGAACATTATGACACTCGTACATTGTTAGGATATGTAGTTTATTATTTAGAAGCACCATATAAAAATGTTTCTTTGTATGATGGTCGTGATGCTTGTGGTGGAGATGGGTAAATATAAAACTTTAAATGGAATAAAAAAGTTAAACATTTTAAAAACATGATTAAAATAAGTCCTTGATTTATTATTCAGATGGAAAACTGATGATGTGGAATCAACAGAAATAACTACTGATGATTTAGTTGCTCTTATAACAGGACTGAAACCTTATACACAGTATGCATATTATGTGAAAACGTATACAATGGCTTCAGAATCTAATGGTGCACAAAGTGATATAAATTACTTTCGCACAATGCCAGGAAGTAGGTTTTTTGTATTTTATTACTTTTTAATTTTTTTTTTTTTTATCGTTTATTTAAATGTATAATATTTAAATATACACAATCATTTAAAATTTTTTTAAACAAAAAACTTTACATCTTACAGCTCCAAGTCCTCCACAAAATCTTCGTGTAAAATCTGTAACTGCTGATAGTATAAGCATTGAATGGATGCCTCCTGCTGAACCCAATGGTGAACTTCAACACTACATCATTAAATATACATCAATTAACATATCTGGGGATTCTTTATTGAAAAGGGATTACTGCCAGAATAGTATGTATTTTTTCATTTAAATTTATGTTATAATTAACTTTTTTTATGTTGTTATAATTTAATATTTATTTAGGTCCAAATGTGAATGAATTTTCTGACAGTTATTCTGGTACTAAAAATGAAATGAYTAATAATGATCAGAAAGAAAATTGTAATTGTACAGATCAACCAGAAAAAAAACAATCTAAAATCAAGGATGAACAACAAATCCAAATTATGATAGAATTTGAAAATAACTTGCAAAACATTTTATATGTTAAAACGTATGTATAATTATTTAAGATAAGCTTTATTCCGCTATTGATGAATWTATTGACTTCACAATGTATTATTTTGAAATGAAAAGTTAATCTAGTTAGTACTTTTTTAAGAGGGTTGAGGAAATATAAATGTTAATATATTTTTTTTAATTAGAAAACTATAATTTGACTTGATCAATTTTATTATTTTTTTGTACTTCCAAAAGCAAATAACCATAAATGTTTCAAATTTTTACCTAATATATTATCACTCTGTAAACATTATATAATTCACTAAATGGTTTGGCCTTTCTAAAGCTAATTACAGATATTTAAAATTTCTGATATTTTTAAAACCAGTCTGTCAAAAAGCTTGCAAATGTAATACAATATTCTTCATAAATTGTTATAACCTRATTCACTTAAAATCGAAAATTGTTATTATAGGTGATTGAAGTTAAATTTTGATAAGATTCATCAAAGTTTAAATTTAAAACTGTTTTGTGATTAAAATTTTTCAATTTTAATAGCTTAGTCTTGAAACACAAGGTTTCTATAAAGTAGTTTTTACTGTTCCAAATAATATATTAGCATAATTTTTTTCTTATAGACATTTGAATTTAAAGTATTAACAAAACTGAATATTTATATAAAACATATTGATATCTAATTTAATTATTTTGCTGTAATTCAACAATCAATATACAATAATAATTGTAGAGATCATAAATGTTTCTGCATTTTATTATATTTTATTATACAAAATGACTTAAAATAGATAATTCTTTTTAACAGGATGCTACCCATGAATTTGTCATCTCCTTCCTATGCACATATGATATAGCAAGTTGTTGTTTGTTAATTCTGATAGTGTGCTATTATTGCTATTAGTTTTTATATTAGGGTGATTAGTCTTATTATCAAACTTTTTGGTAAGAACRTTATGTGTGTAAAAACGTCGTCATTTTTTTTAGATATTTTAATTTTCAAGATAGTTATGGCCTTATGGGTATGTGAATTATTTTAAGTGTAAAATGTTTATGGCTTGTTTGATAGTTTAAATATCGATTTAAAAAACTATGATTAAGCACAGATAATGTTCTTAATATAAAGTTTGTTAATTGGTCAATTCACTCTAATATCAAAAATAACACACTATTGAAACAAGTAAATACAAATTTGCTCTGTCATTTATTTGTAAGATAGAGACAACAAACGCATATGTAGTGTACTCTAAAAGCTAATACTTAATTATAATTTATACAGTATAATTACTTATAGTAAAATAAATTACTATAATAATTTTTTATAGCAATTGCTTATTAGTAGTATAAATTTTATAATGTATGATAATTTTAAATATTCAGTAAATAGTAATATAGGCTATCGACTATCTCAGTTTAAAATTGTATTTTCTATACATTAATTTATCATTGAATTCAAATTTAAGTTATTTATTACAATGACAAGGTTTACTTGGCTCTTATTGTACAACAACGATCCACTCTTTCTTTTTTTTATTATTTTAATGTGTTTAATATTTAATTTTTAAAGTAATAACCCTAAAAGTGATACTTTACCGAAGAAAAAACGAGATGTATCAAATTTTGATCCGCAAGAGTTTCCAAATAGTACAATTTCAAGAATCAATCTTTTATCTGATGTAGATAAAAATTTGGAAAGTATGTAGATTTTATTTTAATATTATTATTTTAGTGTTAATTAATTGATATATATATTTTTTTTTTAGACGAAAATAAGAAAATAATAGTTCCTAGTAATCAGTTGACTTTTACATTGCATGAAAATTTAACTCATTTTACTAGTTATAATATTGAATTATATGTGTGTAGAGAGTGGTTACAAAATGAAAATAAAGAGCCTAATCAAAACATTAGTAATTGTAGTATTCAAAAAGCAATGACAACAGCTCAAACAAGCAAAAAAGGTAAACTAATTTATATTMTTGGTTTTTAAATGTTTTATACTTTTATTCCTATGTTTAGACTTATAAACTGTTGTTTATATTGTTTTGATTCTATAAAATCTTTGTTAGGTGATTCATATTATGTTAATAAATTAGTGAAGGTTTGATAAAGCTACTTTAAATTGTTTTTAATTTTAGAATCTGCTGATAGAATTGATCCATTAACTGTTAAAGCTGTTAACGCAAATACTACCAGCCCTGGCTCAATTAAAATATTTTGGAAAGAGCCTGAAKTTTCAAATGGACCTATTGTTAGCTATCAGTTAGAATACAAAAAAGTTGGAGATCATGTAATATTAATATAATTTATAAATGTATTAACTTTATAATAAAATTGAAATGTATTAATTTGTTTTTGATAGCTTAATCCACCTGTTGTTTGTATAACCAGACAACAGTATCAGAATTCTGACTTCTCACATACTTTATCAAATGTAGCACCTGGAAATTATAGTTTTCGATTACGTGCGAGATCATTAGCAGATTATGGGGAATTTACACAATATAACTATTTTTTAATTCCTGTAAGTATTTATTTGGATTATTTATTATTTATTATTGATTATTCATTTCATATTTAAGGAGGCRCTTTCGATTACCACTCCTCAATTGTTGTTTATTATATTTATGGTTATTGGAATGATTGGAGCTGTAATTATATTGATATTCTATGTTTTACATCGTTATTATAAAAACAAATTGGCTTCAACAAGATTATTTGTCACATGTAATCCAGATTATGTTAGTTGTGGTGAGATTRATTTTTAATKATAAATTATTTAATAATACATGTTTTTATATAGTTTTAATCACTGATGTTTGTTCTGTAGATTATCAAACTGATGAATGGGAAATTCCTCGTGACGATGTTGAAGTTTTAGAGCCGCTGGGTCGGGGTTCTTTTGGCATGGTGTATCGTGGTAAATGGAAGAAGAAAGAGAATGAAATTGTTCCATGTGCAATTAAGACAGTTACTGAAAATAATAATATGATGGTTCGACATKATTTTCTTTCAGAAGCTAATGTTATGAAGTAAGTTTAAACATTTACTAATTTTTTATATCAACTGTACAAAATAAAGCAGTAAATATGCTATTTGTTATTATTATTATTTTTTTTAAATGTATTATTATTAAAAAGTATCATTKCACAGGGAATTTTGTTCAGCTCATGTTGTTCGCTTATATGGTGTTGTATCACAAGGTCAACCAGCATTTGTTTTAATGGAATTAATGCCTCAGGGTGATCTCAAGTCATATTTGCTTAAACATCGTCCAGAAATGACAACTGATCCTTCTCTTAAACCTCCAACGTTAAGGGTATTTAAATTTTAGGGATATATAATTATAATTATTTTTATTTTCATAAATTATGCAATGAATAAGTTAATATTTACTATATTTTTTATAGGATAATTTACGTATGGCTATTGAGATTGCCGATGGAATGTCATACCTTTCATTCAAAAAATATGTTCATAGAGATTTAGCTGCTAGAAATTGTATGGTTAGTGATAACAACATAGTTAAAATTGGAGACTTTGGTCTTACAAGAGATATTTATCAGACAGATTATTATAGAAAAGGTAAATGTTTATTATAGTTGATTAATCGTTTTCATAATTTTATTGAAATGTAAATTGAATTTCAGATTCTGAAGGTATGATGCCAATCCGATGGATGGCTCCAGAAAGCCTTCAGTCTGGTCTTTTTACTTGTTTTTCTGATGTCTGGAGTTATGGTATAGTGTTATGGGAAATGGTGACGTTAGCGGCTCAACCATATAGGGTAAATATATCAAGGTAATGATTTTTATTTTTTAATTATTAATGTTTGGGTAATGTTTTAGGGCGAGAWTGACAAGAATGTCATATCTTATGTTAGTAGTGGCGGTATTATGGAAAAGCCAGACAACTGTCCTGATATTATATATGATTGTATGAAACTTTGTTGGCGTTTTAAAGCTTCAGAACGTCCTACATTTGCAGAAATAKTGAAAATGTTCTTGCCATGTGCTCGTCCAGATTTTGCAAAAACATCCTTTTATCATAATGAATTACAGTCTGAAACACAACGACTTGATGTGTCTGAAAATGGTATCACAGAAACAGAGTCTTTGGAGAGAGAGCGTAAACAAATTGAACGAGACCAGATTACGACAGCATTAGAAAATCAAGCACATTATTGGGGAGGGTCGTCATTGCCTGTTGAACGGTTAGCACCAAAAGCAGATCTGGAAGAAGATGATGATGATGAAGAAGATTCAGATAATGAGTTGCAACGGTTACATATTGAAAATTTTGTATGTAAAAGGCCACCTAACGGATATATGTCCATACATAATGGTAATGGTATAAATACCACTATATGCTGACCGTAATTTTATTATTATTATTATTATTATATATATTTTTTTTTAATAGAAGTAATTTTTTAGATCAAACTTTTTTTCTCTTTTATATGGTATATTTTGTTTTTATATTTATATAGTTCCTAATTGTTGTGTCAAATATGCAGAGATGGGTCTATGTTATGTATATACAAATTAATTTTATTGATTAATCACACAACTATGTTTTGTATGTAACATATATTACATACATACTTATACACATTTAAATATGTTTTACCAATAATATTAAAATGTGTTTGATTTTCTTTAAGTATACATACACTCTAAACAGTTCGTACTTTTTATTTTTTTTAAATCATATTTTATTTTAATATTAAATTAAATAATTATTGACCATTATGGTAGTTGTAAATAAAGAACAGCAGACACTTTTCTAAAAATTTACAAAGCAATAGTTTCATTATTTTTAAAATATAATTAAACCATGACAAGTTGCTTAAGTATAATCTTAACACTTTTTTTATTTTATAGTACTATTTCTAAAACTATTGAAATATAAAAAAATGTTTTCAATCTTAAAAATAGTTATTATTTATTTCAATTTATAATATATATATATATATATATATATATATATAATATTTCACCCATCTTTGCAATATTAATTGAACATTTTTTTAACTTCCTGTGAATTACCCGCACATGGGTAAAATCAGATTGAACTTGCTCAATGCCAAAGCCAGTGTATTTTTTCAATATAGGTTTAGTTCCTTTTTTTCTTTTCTTTCCACAGGTGTGCAATTTAATAGTCTATAGTTTTTTATTATTATTTTTATTATTATTATTATTATTATTATTTTATAAATCATATTCCTATAAGACTGTCTTTTATAAATAAAACTACTTATGTAGTTTCCATAGTACACACATATTTAAAGTTGAACCCTTGTTACCTGAAACATAGATTTAAGTTTATAATATATGTGTATATAAATGATATAAATGATATAAATGATATATATATATATATGTATATATACATGATTCTGGTTCAGTTCCGATATACAAAAGGAAGTAAAAGGAGAAAACAAACACGTAGTTAATTTGGTTATATGTATTCATTAGTTTTAGTTAAAAGTGTTTTTATACTTTTATTATATTATTTTATAAAAAGTGGTGTAAATATGTTTTAATTTAACTTTAATTTGATTAATTGTGTAAACTAACATTTTTTTTAAACTATATATTTATACTTATATTATGTGTTATATAATATGTATATTATATATATGTGACAAGTAGCAATCATGTGTCTTGACCAAATGTTTTGTCATAAGTGCAGTAATAAATATATGATTATAATTGTTCCTAATTAAAATTTGTAGATTCTAAACAAATACTTGATTCAAGATAATTGCATTGATTAAATATTAATTTAAAGAAAAAAAATGATTCTGAGAATAACTTATAAGTACATAAAAATAGGCATAACCTTTTTTTTGTTATATATTATTTACAGATTCTTATGAAAATACCATTCAAGAGATAATTTCCAAATGTTAGGAGTTTTCAACATTATATGTTATTTATCTGGTATTTTGTGGTATTATTTACCTATGTCTGGAATGAGACTGAAATAACCGATTATTAAATTTAATATATTTTAATTTAAGCAATTAAATATTTAACCAATCTTATGGAATCATGTTTTATCTAAATAGCCTATACACAGAGGTCGGTGTTACGAATTGAGAATTGTATATATTTATAAACTGTGAATAATATTGTTTTCGGAAAATGAAATAAAAATTAAAAATATATCTTATCATTCAAAAAAGTGATAAACTTGAAAATCGATGACGATGTATTACACCATCTATATGATCTGTGGCAAACGTCTATCGCGTCACTCAGCATTTGTCGGAGACGATTTACAATTTTTTTGTTTCATATTTCATYCTGCCCAAGCTATTTTCATAAAATAACTCGATATCCACGACCCTTATAAGATGAAGACAGATTAAGAGGATAATAATATGGTGTCTGAACTCTAGCTATGGCTCAGCTATATTTATCTCGAAGAGTTGGTTTATGCATTATTCGAAAGTTTGATAACCTATTCTTTCGGTGCTTAAGTATTTTACTTTTTAGTGTTTATATTAATAATTGCTGCCAATCTGCTGCCCGAGTGATGTAGATTGGTATTTTAATCCCGAGCGCTCAACGCATAAATACGTAGGCGCCGACGACACTTCCAGATCGTAGAATAATAATAAATTTCAACAATGAAAAAGATTTAAACTATAAATAACAGTGTCGTACATCTGGAATACTACAGTATTACACCGCGGTGCTCTTATGCCCTGTATAATTAAAAACAATTTTCATTGTTGCGAATTAAAGCGTCACCGTTATTTATCAAACATTAGGTATATAGTCGTATAGATAAATAATTTTATAAATCAGGGAAATCAAGTTTTTCAGTGTATCTTGTCAATGTGTTAGATGTGATGGATGCATGAATTCAATATATTATTTTACCTCTAATTAAAACGATTATGAAAAAAGATAGTTTCAATCTCTATTTCTAAGCATGTGTTGCAAGTTGCAATAGTTGATAATAGGCAATAAGTCATTAATTTTCAACCAGAATACAGGTACCTAACACGATTTAAGGTAATACCTACTATCTTAAACCGTGGTACCTAATATAATATAGCTACAATTTAGTATTAACTATTTTAAGTCCACTTCCGCCAAAAAAAAGATATACATTATGCTATTATCAGTCCTGTAAAGAATACTTTCAAAAAGTATTTCAAATACTACTCARAAACTTTAAAAAAGTATTTGGAATACTTTTCAAATACTTTTGGTTTTTAAAGTAGGTTTCTAATTATTTATCGTAATATAAACACATAGTAAGTTTATAATAATTTTTATTTTATTTATTATTTATTGAATAAATGTTTGTTAAATTTTAAGAACATAATGTTTTCAAAATGTTCATCGGTCATACTGCTTCTCTTTTTGGTCATGGTTGCTCTACCCACTCTAAATACCCGCTCCACTGAAGCACTGCTTGGCAGYGGAGTATTGAATTTAATGAAAAAATAAAAAATAAAATGTTCGAAATAAAAAACCAAAGTATTCAATACCATTCAAAATACTTCATGCTGAAAGAATTTAAAAAGTTATTCAATACTTAAAAAAGCATTTGAATACTTTTACTCAAATACTTTACGGGACTGGCTATTATAATTTATTTTTTTCATAAAATATTATTGTAATTCACTTATAACTCAGTATCGATAAGTGACGTCTATCGTATATATTTGCCGCCTTTCAATAAAATAGTGGAGATGGGTACCTGTCTGTTTTGGATCACTCGAAATCAATAAATAATTTTATAATTTTTCATTCTATCTATCATTAACATTCATATTTTAATTTAACGTTTTTAAAACTACCTATTCATTTTATAACATAAGGTTTTTAAAAATATCCAAAGTGTATTGTAAAGTGAAAGTACTATTGAATAAAAACCAAAAATATTTTGAAAATTACTTTTGTGTTCTTAAACTAACAATACACAAATATATTATGAGGAATTTTGTTTTATATTTAAGAGGTGGTTTTTACATGCAGAAAGCATATTTTTATTAATACTTAGGTATCGGAAGTAAACATGAGAAATTTTAAATTTTAAATATTCTCGAATTGTTTAAAATCAAAAAATTATAAATTATGTGCTCAACAATAGAAGAACATGATTGACTTTTACCAACTAGTAGGTTATAGTCGAAACGGCAGATTTGATGTTTTCACTATTTCACTATATATCTTTATAATGTTAAATCAGTACTTACTACTCAGCAATACTTATATGGCTATATACTATATAGTATATATACATGAAAAGTACTAGGTAACCAAATTTATCTATAATAATATTAATATTTAGTAATTTATAAAAAAGTGATATAAAAATATGCGTGTGTTTCTAATATTCAAATACCATCTCAACCAAAAGAAAAAAAAACTAATAATAATAATTTTGTATATTGTTATAATTATAAATTTTGGTTTTTGTTATATTACATATATTATTATTGCAATGAACTAGGTAATCGTAAACACAGACCTCTTTGATTTCAAAGTTGTATTACAATATATATCTCTGGATTTATCTTATTAAGGTAGGTATAGTATAATGTATTCAACGATATATAATAGCTAGTATACCGATATCTATCATCTGTGGCAAACGTCAATCGATGTCAGTCGGCTTTAATTGCAGGAGACGATTCATAATTTTATATTATTATTTTTTAATCTCATATTTTATTCCGCTCAAGTTATTTTTATAAAATAACTCGATACCTACTTTCAGTTGAGAATGAGATAAAGATRCTAGATAGATATAGACAGAAGAAGACAGATGAAGAGAAGAGCAGTTCCTGGATATATGGCGTATGAACTATAAATATGGTTCAGCTACATGCCTACATTTAATCCGAAGAGATTAATATTTATCGGCGGTCAATCTGCTACCTGAGTGATATAGATGAGTATTTTCTCTTGAGCGCTCAATATACACGCACAAACTACGTCGACACCAGGAGCGTCATTTGGGGGGGGGTCAGGGTGTGCCGGTGCACCCCTTACTTTTAGAATGTTATAATAAATTGGGCTGCGTCTTGCTGAAGCCCAAAATAATGCACGAGCCACGAATGCACAATTATTTATATAATTAAAATCAAATTGTAATAACCGGTCTATAAYGTATGGAAATAATTGAATGCAGGATAATATACATATACCTACGTATGTATATCTATTTTTATATGGTATGGTGAAATTTTAAAATGGCCTGCTAGAAACTTCGCAC